TAAAAACTAAAGCATGGTTAGAAACAACTCCATAATAAGAGCTTGTAGATGTGTCATAGTCAACACTTTCAGTTATTGACATTTCATCAAGAATTAAAACACATTCTTTTTCATGGATTTTCATGTCTTTCACCTTAGTTTTCATAAACTCAAAGACTTCCGTTAAAATTCCACTTTGAAATTTTATATATAAAACTGTATATATAAAATTTATAGTATCATTTGACCATTTCATGAATTTCATATATATATATATATATATATATATATATATATATATATATATATATATATATATATATATATATATATATATATATATATATATTTATAGTATCATTTGACTATTTCATGAATTTCATATAAATATATATATATATATATATATATATATATATATATATATATATATATATATATATATTTAGTATCATTTGACCATTTCATGAATTTCATATATATATATATATATATATATATATATATATATATATATATATATATATATATATATATATATATATATATATATATATATATATATATATATAAATATATATATATATATATATATATATATATATATATATATATATGATACTATAAATATATATATATATATATATATATATATATATATATATATATATATATATATATATATATATATATATATATATTTATAGAATCATTTGACCATTTAATGAATTTCATATTTTTTTCTACTTAAGGATAAAATCCTTTTAAGATAAAATCCTTCTCTTCAATTATTTTAAAAATACCACAAGTAAGTATAAAAGATTGCCTCTATAATAATCTAAATACTATAAATGTTATTAATCGTCCTAAGTTTCTAGATTTTATTGCATAGATCAAAAACATATATGTTGTAAATGATGGTGCAGGGAAAAACATTAGGCTCTTTAAAGATTTCTTTTACCTACTAAAGATTAAAAAGTTGTATTTTTTGAGAATTGCTTCACCGCAATATAATCTTAAATTTGCTAATAAATATTAGCTAATAATAATTAGCTAATAAATATTCATATATAAATATATATATATATATATATATATATATATATATATATATATATTGTATTTTCATATTTAAAAATATAAACTAAAAATATAAACTATCAAGTTAAATAGTTAATCTAATTGTTATGTTTTAATTTTCTAAAATGTAAAAAAATTGTGTTTTCTATTAATGTTAAGGACAGCCTTACATTAAAACAGTAAAACTCAGATTTTACATCTAGCACTTCCTGTCAAAATTAAACCGTCAAATTTTTTTAAGATATATTTAGGACACATAGAATAGGAGTCAGAAGTGAGCTTTTTTTTTTTTATTTTAG